TCTTCGTCTTCGTCTTCGAAATTTGTTGCAACTGTGAATTTTGATTTTGCAGTGTGAGTTGGACATAATGTTTCATTTGGAAAAAGCACACTTTATGCTGGAGGAAATGGTGATGAATGGTTGTATTGTTGAAACCAGCAAGGCTAATATTCTGAGTCCAATACAGCTGATGGACAAAGCATCATAGATTGTTAAATTTGATCTGTTTGGAGACTGTAACATGACCATGTTCTATAATTATTTGATTGTCTATTCGTGTAATTCCAAGTACATTTAAGATTCTTGATTTCATAATGGAAGATAGTTTTGAAGTTAATGAGAAACCTGTCGAACCAGATCTTGGGCTGGTCCGAGTAGCTATAATGGACCAGTTTACGATCATCCCAGTCTAAAAACAGGGTAAAAGTTCGGTGGGTTTGACGACTTTGAACTGGGTGTCTTCTACATAACTTGTGGGTCAAAACAGGGACATACTGGTTAGAAGAAAAACTTCGAGGATGGCCTTACCGTCCTATGTGGTGTGATCGCCGAATAAGGAGTCACCACTCGATGAGGTGGCCCACTCTCAACCAATGAGGTGAGGTCGCTTCGAGACTTGATTTTCTCTTTTCATCTCAAGTTCTGAGGTGGTCTCACCTCATGGAGTGAGGGTGGACTACTTGATGAGGTGTTACCTCTTCATTTGACGGTCGCACCAAATTTTTTCTCAAACGGTTAGAGGGTAAGAGGCTGTCTATTTTTGACAAATAGTGAGAGAAATGAAAGGTTGCTATAAATATACCAATTCAATATGAAAGAGCAAAAACTTCACCTCATGGAGTGAGGGTGGGCTACCTAATGAGGTGTTACCTCTTCATTTGACGGTCGCACCAAATTTTTTCTTAGAGGGTAAGAGGCTGTCTATTTTTGACAAATAGTGAGAGAAATGAAAGGTTGCTATAAATATACCAATTCAATATGAAAGAGCAAAAACTTGTATGACATCTTGAAGTTGAACAAAAATTAGAATATTTGAGCATTATAGTTTGATTATTGTACTATTCATTAAAAGTGACTATAATATTTCACTGTTCTTTTTTTATCTTTGTCGTTGAATAGAACTTGTCCATCCCTGATAAAAGTAAATAGACTACAATTGCTCAAACTATGATCATGACACCTTTGAATCAAAGATTGTAAACCAAGTCGAGTGTCTAGATTGATTCGTCTAGTGTTTAAGTCTGAAGAGGGAAAGGTAGATCAAAATTAACAAGACATTTAGTTATTAAGGATCTAGATGTTTTGAACTGTCTAAGTAGTCAGCATATGAAATAATAAATCAAATAGTATCCCGAGTAGACCTCAAATATATTTATAAGGCTCACTTTTGTGCAGCAGTTATCCAACCTATATACAAATTAGGACTTAAACCTACATATAATATTGAAAACCCCAGACTAGAATACTGTCTTCCTGATCATTATACGTGAGATCACCATAATTTTGTACAAAGACTAAATATTTGAGACAAACCAGCATAGAATACTGTACTTTGAATCTTGCCATATTTTCATTTCACTTGCATAAAATCACCTGATTTGGGAGCAAACGTTTCAAAGCCATTTCAGCTTGTTTCCTAGGAGAAGACTAGAGGCACGCAAGACGCAATTTCGTCCCAGGAATATATAGATTAATAATTGATAAATTCTTGGGATGAGCTTATCAGATTGCTGCTGGCTTGCCATCTTTCCTAGGATCACTGACAGCAGTTAGTATTCCACGAAATACCTCATTTTTAATCATTTTTCTTCCTAAATCCACCGAATTTTCAAGATTTTGAACAATAAGCTGGCAGATTGCTCCCCCAGCTTTACTCTGGAGTTCATGACCTCTCTCTTTCAAGAATTGCTTATATTCATCAGAAAGTTCAATGTGTTCTCCATCAATGACTGTCCAGTTCTCATATGAGACAACATTTGGAATAAGCTGCACATAACTAGAATAATGTCAGGACTATATGATTTATAATTGCTTATGAAAATAATTCAATGTATCAAAAATCGAGGGACCTTGTGGTAGACTCGCGCATTCCTAACAGCTGCTAAAGGTTTCATTCCCAGGATAAAATGGTTAATGAAAACTTGAACCACCACCGGAATAATATTTAAGCCACCACTGCCTCCAATCACCCCAGCCAACTGGTTATCCTGTGAATGGTGCGCAAGATAGTAAGCAGTTCAGAGAGTTGAAGGCACCGATTAATGAACTTAATTGTAGAAACTATAAGCCCTAGTATTTATGTGTAAAACCATACCTTGAGAACGATGATGGGGGTCATGGACGATAAGGGTCGCTTGTTTGGTTTAATAAAGTTGGTTGGAGCAGGAGGGAGTTTGTCAGGGGATATTTCAGTTGGTGTCGAGAAATCATCCATTTCATTGTTGAGCACAATGCCGGTGGAAGGCGAGAGAACACCACCTCCAAAGGGATAATTCACTGTGGTCGTCATTGATACAGCATTTCGCTCGGAATCTACAATGCCAAAGTGGCTTGTCCCATGATCCCTAAGCTGATTCCACCTAGACTAACCAAATGCTTTAGTGTTGTCGTCAATTGTTGAAAACTAGATTCAAATAAATAATCGTGTCCTCCCTCTCAAGACAACATGATATCGAAGACCAAGCTTCGAAAGTCTTGCCACAATCCCATTTATAAAACTTATCCACGTATCATGTCTTTGATAAAAGTGCACGTGAAGGGATGTTCAAAGACTAAAAACTCAAATAAATAAATGTGTCATGTTTCAGACATCTTCCGCTTTTACATGCGGTGGTTCAAAAGTACTAAAGCTGAAAAACAACCAGACTTAAGAGGTCTACCTGTACATATAATATTCGGGAGGGAAAGTAGTGTTGTCCAATATCTTTTCCCGAATGCTCTTAGCAAAATCTGGGGAAAGCATTTTGGAGACCACTTCATTAACATTTTCAAAATGTGGGTCTCCCAGGTACATTCGAACAGCAAACATGTGTTTTATCGCTTCAATCAGACGATGCAGACCTAAAGGACCTTTCACAGCACCAGGACTTCGGTAACTTTCTAAAATGTTCAAAATCTGCATTTCATCAAAGATAAATAGTCAGTCGAAAGAGTGGCATTTCGAGTATACCAATGCATAACTCCATATAACGATAGGATATCATCAACTCAACTTCTAACAATCCAAGCACTAACTATTTCCGCTAGAATAATTTACAATAAAAAAGAGCTTGACTAAAGCAAAAGTTAGGGGAGGATCAATTACTATCTGGGAATTCAGCATTCAAGTCATTTGAAGTCTAGAACACGCACCAGAGAAAGCCCAACCGTTCCGCTTGAAGGTGGCGGCATTCCTAATATCTGGAATCCCATTACATTTACAGCAACTGCATCTGTAACATCCACTCTGTAATTTCTTAAATCCTCCATTGTCAAAATTCCACCTGCTTTTCTCACATCTTCAACCAGTTTTTCACCAACTTTTCCATTATAAACCGCTTCAGGGCCTTGTTCAGCAACTGCCTCTAAGCTGTTCCCAAGTTCTACATTGTAGCATATATCGCCAGCTTTTAACAACTTACCCCTTGGTGCATAGACTTGTTTTAAGCCTCGATCAGACATGATCATCTCTGCCATTTTAGCAATTGACGATCCTAAATAAGGAGCAACCTCAAATCCTTGTTTGGCAAGTTTAATTGCAGGTTTGACTAAAGTTTTCCAAGGCAACCGCCCATATTTCAACCAAGCCACATGAAGTCCAGCTATCTCACCCGGAACACCCATTGACAGTGCTCCTTCAGATTTGGCCTTTGCATTATTGGCATACATGTTCTGCCAGATGAAACAAACGACACATGAAAAGGATAAATTGAAACACTATTTGCAATTTCACTACTCTAATTTAGACTTCTATGATGAACTTGAATACAAAATGACGGATCTCTTATGTGTTATCTGTTAAACCTAAATCCCCATCTCCAAGAGCAACAATAAACCAAAAGAAATAAAAATGAGCAAAGAACACACAAATTTATAGTGGTTTAGCCATAATGTGAGAGCTATATGCAATCGCCGCTGCTTTGACTATAAAGAAGGCCGAGATACAATATTTTCTTCCTCCCGCCTCTCCATATTATCTTACAGAAAACAATATCCCTCGTATTCCTTTATAGAGCGTAGGAAACTAGGGTGTGAAGTAATACATAAATGTGAATGCCCACATATCCCCAATTACAAAAAGAGATTTGCATAACCGAACAATAAGATTAGGATCCAAATAGTCCAACATTATGACCTTTATCATCTAAATCCAAGTTTTAATTTTACGTGGAAAATCAAACGCAAAGATTATGAACCTGTGAAGCAGCGCCTGGAGCAGTTTCTCTCATGTCAAACGCTTGAGCATCTGATGTCGATGAAGAAAGAACAACCATGAAACCTCCACCTCCTATTCCACTTGACATCGGATTAACTACCCCGAGGCATAGTGCAGTTGCAACCGCGGCATCAACAGCATGTCCCCCCATTTTAAGTACAGATATGCCAATTTCAGAGCATCGACCATCATCAGCAGCAACAACAGCTTTCTGTGATTCGACAACGTCACTATTGGTAAACCGGATTCTTTTGTCATATTTGACATCATTCCTCACTCCCAAAAATTTCAAATCCCCTTTGATTGCAAGGCCTACATCTAAATACAGACAAAGAGCAAAGAACTGAGAAATTTAATTCTTATACAGTAGATCGCATTACAATTTATTAGAAGTCAAGATTTGATAAATTTATTCACTTTCAGACAAATAGATGACCACACAACCAGAATCCCTCATTTTTTAACTAAATGAAGTAAACTATCCGTTCCTTGATCAAAAAGTTATATAGGATTTTCTTTGTAGATTGATCACAATAATTCTATTTCCCAGATTCATATAATCTGAATAACCCAACAACCCATCTTTTGCAAAATTCCTTAAAACTCCTCAAACATATGAAGACAATTCACTGGAATGGGAAAGATGAAGCTAAGAAAATTCTTACATGCTATGGCTACAATTCCTAGAAGAAACCAAAGGGCTCTGCTCCATCTTTTTCTCCTTGTGAAATCGTCACTGCTCAAAAGTGGGAATTCTATGTCGTGCTTCCCCATTGCTAATTTCAGCCTCTGTGTGTGTGTGAGAGAGAGAGAGTGACAAAGAAAAAGAGAGGGAGAGATATTTTGGAAATTTCAATGTTGTATTTGGAGGCATTAGTGTCTAGATGCGTGGCTATGAGGTAACTTCTTGTCCGTAAAAAGTGAGCGAATCATTTTTTATTTTTTCTACATATTTTGATATTATTATCCACTTTGGAATATATTAATAGAATAAAAATAATTTTTTTATTTCGTGGGCCCTAACATAAGTCTTATCCAATGACAACTTAGCTCCCATTTGACCCCCATTAAATTACATTACATTTTTCTCTCTTCTCTCTTAACCACACAATCTCCCATAAAATAATATTACACGTAAATCGAAATTTTTTTTTCAACCATTCATTTTTCAAAACAACACTATTTCATCCTTTTTCATTTCCCAAAAATGGGGGCCAAACATAAAATGAAATAGAATCTTGTTATACAAGTATAATAATTTTGATATCATGATTGACAGTCCTCTCTCACATACAAAAGATGGGGTCCACGATTGAAATAATTATGAACCCCACGTTTGTGACAGTGTTGTACACGCACAGCGCTGCTATAAACAAAGCAATTTCCAATGAAATAATGCGCACACAATATATATATAAGAACAACTAATTGGTCAATTTTTTCCCTAAATTTTGAGATTGATGAATATTTATCCCAACAATTTTGAGTGCCATCTAATTTTCCCGCATGCTTACGATATCATACATCTCCGCTCTTCAATCAAATTTTGTGCAGTAGAAGAAGATCCTCATTTTCGCGTCCAAGGAGACACTCTCCTAATTTCTTATTTCAGAGTTATTAATATCATTTTTAGCTTTAAATTGTACGTATATTAGACATTAGACAAACTTTGTTGTCCATGTCCTTACTAAGAATGTTGTTGTACTCTATATTAATTGAAAGGGAAAAGTCCAGCCACGATACCAAATCTTTCGTTTATTAGTAGACTTTGTCCAAACATTTCATTTGTGCCACTCACGGTACCAAGCCTTTCAAAAATCCTCGCTTGGAGTCCGAATGGATGTTTCCCGTTAGTTTGACTACCAAAACTGTTAGTTGACTCCCAAAATAAAAAACTTTATTATTTCCTCCAAATAAGATAAGGACATTTTGGATAAAACACATTTTTTCTATTAAATCAAAAATTTTTAAAGCAAAAAATAAATCCACAACCCATTTCCATCTCCTTCTTCCCCAAAATCCAAACCACTTTGGCCGCCGTTGGCAACCACCACTACACACCTAAAACCACCACCACTAGATGGCTCCACCTCACCTACCCAACGCCGACGCCATCCACCGACAGTAGATATGAGGACAACCCGAACTATCATCCGCCATCCACCACCCACCTATCCACTGTCGATCACCACCACTACCTCATTTCAGATTGTGCTTCAATTTCACCTGAATACATATTCTTCGCTGTCCACTCGCATCACCATCCACATCACCTCCGGAACCTCCAACCCAACGCTCCTCACAACTAGGCATCACCACTGCCTCAAAAACTATAGCTCACTCAAGCATTCAAAGCGAAATTGAACCTTCAGCTCCCTCAAGCAATTGAAGATTCACTCCATTGTCATCATCAAACTGCCATCACCACCATCGCTTTTCCTCACCACCACCACTACTTTCAGTCACTAGAATAACCGTTTATACCACAACAATAGCAAATCATCAAAATCAAATCTAATTTCAAAATCAATTTTGGTTGTTTCATATCTAAAGTAAAGAAATCTAACACTCTTTCGTTCTTCCATTATTGGTGGCAGTAGCAGTGGCAATGACTTTTGGCCTGGATAGCTGCATTGGTCAATCAACTAGATGGAGGTGGCGGCAACTTTGTGGCGAGGAGGATTTCTGGGAATGGGGAAAGAAGGGATGGGTTTGCGTGGTAATTGTTTTTATCTTTAGTGGTGGTCGATCGCTGGGTGATGGTGGCGTTATGTGGTCGGGATGGCGATGGCGGTCGATTGCGTGGATTGTGGCAGCGACGGCGACTTTGGGGCAAGGGGTATTTGTGGGAATGGGGAAGAAAGGGTTAGGTTTGGGTGGTGGGTTAGTTTTAATCTT